GGGTTTTGTGTATGGAGTGAAGTGTAGATCTTGCTTGAGTTCTCTACAGATAGTTTCCGAATTTTACCAACACCATTTGTTTAAAAGGCTGTTGTTAACTCACTTAACTGATTTCATCTTCTTGTCAAAAATCAGTAGATGGGCTGACTTCTGGGTTCTCAATTCTATTCCATTGATCTTTGTGTCTGTCATTGTACTAGTACTACTGTCCTGGCTACCACAGCAGTGTTGTAGGATCAGAAATCAGGGAGTGAGATGCCTCCTATGTTGCTTCTCTTTTTAAGGAGTGCTTTGCTTATTCTGGGCCTCTTTCCATTCCAAATGAAACTGGAAATTGCCTTTTCCATCTCATTGAAGAATGGGATTAATATTTATATTCAGATTGCATTGAAGGTGTACATTGCCTTTGGTAGCATTGTCATTTTCACAGTACTGAGTCTTCCTATCCATGAACAAGGAATATACTTCAATTTCTCCAGGTCTCTTTTTGTTTCTTGTGGTAGTATTTTGTAATTTTCTTTGAAAAGATCCTTTGTGCTTCTGGTTACATTTACTCCCAGGTATTTAATCTTGTGATTAGTATTGTGAAGACTATTGTTTGTTTGTTTTGTAGTTTGCTTTTTTCCTTTAGCTCCAGCTCTGTATTCTCTTTGTCACTATAAAGAAATCCAACTGAGTTTTGGATGTTGATCTTGTATTCTGCCACTTTGCTGAATTGATCAACTATGTCCAGTAGTTTTCTTGCTGACTATTTAGGGTTTTCTAAGTATATTATCATATCATCTGTATATAATTTTACCCCCGCTTTGCTAATTTGTGTACCCCTTATTTTCTTCTCTTGTCTTATTGCCATTGCTAAGACTTTCAATACAATATTGAATAAGAGAGGTGATAGTGGTAATCCTTGTCTAGTTCCTGTTCTTAAAGGGAATGCCTTTAACCTCCCTCCATTGAGAACAATGTTGGCTCTCGGGTTTGTGTATATACTTTTTACTATGTTGAAAAATTTCCCTCAAATCCTATTTTGTTGCATGTTATAATCAGGAAAGGGTGTTGGATTTTGTCAAAGGCCTTTTTGCATCAATTGACAGGATCACGTGGTTCTTGTTCTTTGCTTTGTTAATGTGATGAAAGACATTAATTGTTTTTCTTGTGTTGAACCACTCTTGCATACCTGTTATGAATCCCACTTGGTCCAAAATCACTAGCTCTAAGAGAGATGTAAATCAAAACAACTATGAGATATCATCTCATCCCCAGTAAGAATAGCGAAATTTAACAGAACAGCAAACAACACATGCTGATGAGGTTGTGGAGAAACTGGAAGCCTTATTCACTGTCAGTGGGAGGGTAAAATGGTGCAAGCACTATGGAAGGCACTATGACACTTTCTCAAAAAGTTGCAAAGAGAAATACCATTTGACCCAGCAATTCCACTACTGGGACTATACCCCAAAGAAACCATAATTGCCACCCAACTAGATATATGCACACCCATGTTTATCACGGCTTTGTTCACAATAGCAAAGAGTTGGAAACAACCTAAGTGCCCATCAACAAATGAATAGATAGAGAAGCTCTGGTACATCCACACAGTGGAATACCATGCTGCATTGAGAAAGAAGGAACTAATGAAATATTACATAAAATGGGAGACGATGGAGGACATTATGCTGAGTGAACTATCTCAGTCACAGAAGGACAAATACTGCATAGGGCCACTGTTGCAAAATGGGACTGACATTGGGGTTGGGGGGAGACTGAGAATGATGGTATAAATTATGTAAATAAACACTATTTATATAAATAAATACTGCATTAAAACAGATGAGCGAGAGAACTGTTTAGAACTGTTTATGATTAGCTATTATTATCATTACAGGAGTCCAGAACGAAGACTGCATAGTGGAGTGGACTTGCGAGGAAAGGATTGTGTATCAATGAAAAAATTTTTCTTTTACTTTTCAAAGAGAAGAGTAAACTGGAGGGGAGGGATAAAAGGGCAACAATGAATGAATGGAAATCCAAAGTCTCTGTAACCTTTCATTAAAATTAATAATTAAAAAAGAAGAAAAAACACTGTTGAAAGAGTATAATTTCTGATGTCACATGAACCTTGGCTGAAAGCAAAAACTACCAGAAAGATGTGGGCTTGCGTTTCATTGACTATGAAAAGGCATTTGACAGTATGGATAATAACAAATTATGGCTAACCTTGATAAGAATGGGAATCACATAAGACTGACTGTGCTCATGTGAAATCTATACATTGGCCAAGAAGCAGTTGTCTGATAATATCAAGGGAGCGCTACATGGACTAAAATTAGGAAAGGTGTGCAGCCAGATTGTATCCTTTCTCCATACGCATTCAGTCTGTATTCAGAACAAATAACTTGAAAAGCTAGACTTTATAAAGGACAAGGCATCAAGATTGGAGGAAGATTCATCAACAACCTGCGCTATGCTGATGACTCAACCAGGCTTGCAGAAAACGAGGAAGCCTTGAAATCCTTACTTCAGAAGATCAAAGACTATATAACCTTCAATATAGATTACAACTCAGCACCAAGAATATGAAAATCTTCACACCTGGACCAATAGGCAACTGGCAATCATGTTAGATAGAGGTAAGAATGAAAGAAGTTATCGATGATTTCACTTACCTGGATCTACAACCAAAACCAAAAGTAGCACCCATCAAGAAGTGAAAAGATGTGTTGCACTGGGAAAATCTGCCATCAAAGCCTCCTTTAAAGTACTACATAGATTATTTAAAGAATATGATAGGCCTGATTAAAGATACTCTAATTTCAATTGCTTCCTAAGCATCTGAAAGTTGAGTAAAGAATAATGAAGAAAGATGAACTGATGTCTTTGAACTGAGATGTTGGCTAAAGGTATGAAGCATCACATGAACTGACTAAATAAGGATGTCTGGGAGGAATGTAACCAGGTAGTTTCTAGAAATAAGGATGATGAAACTTCACCTCACACACTTTGAGCATATTATCAGGATTGATCATTCTTGGAGGTGGAGGCGCGTAGCATCATGCTAGGAAAGAAAGATAAAAATGAAAGAGAGGAAGACCCTCCACAAGACAGACACAGCAACTGTAACAATAGACTTGAGCAAGGTGGAGATACAGCGGAATGGGACAGGATAGGGCAAGGTTCTGATCAGTTGTTCATTGAGCTGCTGTGAGTTGTAGTCAACCTAACAACACCAACAAAAGGAATGTCAATAAAGTAACAAAGTTGTAATATACGAAAAAGAACTGGTTAAAAGCAGTGCTTCTTTTAATACATGCCACTTGCAGAGATTTCTAGATAATCTTTATCGATTGGCCCCTAGAAAAAGAAAAGTCATAAATAAATTATTGCATAACTTCTTTATTTTATGTTATTGAAAGTCCTCTGGAAATATCTTCCAAGTGAACAAAACAGATGGAGCGAGTGGTTTCAGGTTGGCTTCAGCCTTCAGGTAGGTCGTCCTTGAAACAACTGTGAAACTGGGAGCCTGGTGAGGGGTGGGGCGGGGGACCAAAAGGAGAGTGTTGACTAGTACTTGCTTCCTGCTGGAGACAGGGAAGGCCCCTGCCTCACAATGACCAGAGGTGAGCACAACAATGCACAGGCCCCCCTGCAATAGAGATATGGAGAGCATGCAGGTAGATGTGAAATTCTCTGGGGATGAAAGAAGGAGAAAAGTATGCTGAGTTGGGATTAGGCTGTACTCCTAAAGCAGGTGTTATGTTTCTTGGAATAGATGTGGCCAGTACAGGACAGCTGGTCTGGAGTGAGCTGTGTGGGGTTGCCAAGAGGATCCAAGCAATCTAAGCTGAATGGAGTGGAATGGACCAACGTTTGGCCAGATGATGAAGTGAATTAAAGGGTGGGGAGAATGCACTGACTAGCTCCAGAGGTTGCTTAAAATAAACAAGCAAAAATCCCATCTCGTAGCTTTGCAAAACCTACGTGTGTGACCTCATAATCCTTTTTCTCAGGAGCACTAAAACTCAAATTTTGAAATAGGAACTCAGCTAAATTTCAATTCTAATCCTTTCAGAATTCAAAAGGACAGTCAATTCAATATGTAGTTTAACAATGCCACTGCTTCCTGAGCTTTAAATACAAATAAATGAAAGCAAACCTTCCATATCTTCCTATTTTAGTCTGACCCTGAACTAGTTTAGAGGAAAAAAGTCTAACACATCTCTATCAATCTTGATTTGTGTCTCACGCTGAGAACCTGTTATCTATTCTAATATTACTTCTATAAATATTCTCTCCTAAGGTTTTGATTCCATTTTAAAAATCCATGTGATAAAGACATAACAGGAAAACAGAAAGAAACATCAAACATTAGACATGCTTTCCTCTTAGTGCTCATAACCATGGTTTAATGAATTCAAAAGATTTGTCAGAAATTAGTCAAGGTTATTCATTACTTGCTGTTTTGAGTCAGCAGGCTTAACACTATTCCTGAGGAAAAACAGCTAAGCTACTGTATACACATCTGATTACCACTTGCATCATGAAAAGCATGAATTGAGATTAATTTGATGCACCTAAAATGAGAACAGCCAACTAAAGCTGGTTATTAATGGGTTTTAAAAGTAAAAAAAAAATTAGAAAAAGGGGAATAATATTTGGAATTGAACTTGTACTATAAAGCCAGAAAAATACAAAACAATACACCATGTAAAACTGTTGTTAGAATATTTTTTTTTCTTCCAGCAGAACAAAGAAGGATTTTGTGCTACAAATGCAATGACTGAACAGGAAAGAGATGTCACAGATAAGAAATTCATCATTTTATAAGTCATATATTATGCTGTTGATCTTTGGTACTGTTATACAAAAAATGACCACCTGTTCTTACCTAATTTACCAAGACACTATGGCAAAATGGACCAGTTCCCACATTCTGGCCCTCTTTTTTGCCAGTTGCTCTCACCAACAAAAGCTGAGGTTATGACAATGACAGCACTTTGGCTTACCACAGGTCTGTGTACATCCCAGAATGCTCTCTCCTGGCTATCAAGGATTTTCCTTTCAATTTTGTCTCTTTTCTTGTCCACTCTGTCAACAATACAACAACAAATAAAGAGTATTAATCACAGTGCATCTCTGGAGGGAGAGAAAAAGGGCACAACTTGAACGTATTTTCCAAAAGACTCACAAGAACTCACTTTGCCTGGGCTTCTGCCTGCATAAAAATGAACTCCCACTTCCGAGCAAACGCTCTCTGCAGCCTGGCCAAGCTCTCCTGAAATATAGACCACAGAGATGACATTTGAGTGACCATCTCGTCACTTCTATCCAACTTAACTGTATGTAACACGCTGATCAGAAGCATAGCAAATTTCTGAAATAGTACATGCACTCTGGTTTTGAATGCTAAGTCACACTTAGTAAATGCAGGTGATCCTCACACCCGCTGTCTTGAGAAAAAAAAACAAAACAGAGAAACTGTCCCAGATGGGAATGTCTGCTAATATAACTGACCTTTGTGAATGCAAGTAAAATTCAAATCTATAGCTGCCAAATATTAAAATTAGCTCATGAGAAAAAGTGCTCAAAACTAACTCATAGATTTTTCTGTGTTCACTTTACACAGATGGACAGGAAAAGGGTGCACCCCTATCACGATGTAATCCATTATCCAGTTAGCCCCCCAAAATGCAAAACCTTAGCATCCCACTAAAATCAAACCGATTGCTGTCAAGTGGATTCTAATTCACAGTGGCCTTAAACGGCAGAGTAGAAGTGGCTTCAGGATTTCCAGGGTCTTGACCCCTATGGAGTTGAAAGTCAACATTGTGCTCCTGAGAAATGGCTGGTGGGTTCAAGCCATCAACAGTTAACAACTGAGTTAACCTCTTCACTATTAAGTTTCCTTGCCAGCTCATTACTAATTTTTAAACTGTGCACCAAATTAGGTAATCATTTCCACCAATTACACAAAACTAATCTAATCTGCTAATGGTGACCAGGATGAAAAATTTTGGGGAAACTGGGAGAAATATAGGCAGTCTCTTCTCATTAAGATAGACAGCCTTGGAGAAGCAGCCGAGCATTGCTGCAGGCCAGAATCAGCTCAACAACAGAAAATTAGGCGGGTTTTTGTTATATTTTCAGAAATGATCTTTTAATTCTCTTAGCTCAGATATGTTTACTGTGGTGTATCTGAAATTATTATGGTTAAACCAAGTGAAAAATAAGGATATATTTCTTCCTTCTACTTTGAGTCACGTGAAGAAGGAAGCTAGTAAGGAATTAATTAATTAAATTTATTATTTATTATCTGATATTATATCTATAAATGTATAAAGCTACAAAAGGGCCCCAAGAGACTAAAGGTTTTATTTTGTCAATTTTAGATCTTTATTCAGCAGAAGGATCTTGTACTTACAGCCTCATAGTCTGCTAACTCCAGTCTTGCCTTGTTTTGCATTGTTCTTTTACAGAGGTATACCGCTGAAATAGAAGACAAATCAATCATTTCTTGCAGCTCATTAACACTGAGGGCACCATAAATCAAAACACGGTAATCAAGATGTATTAGCCACTGTTGTAGAATGGGACTGTCCTTGGGGTTGGGGAGAGACTGAGTACGGTGGGTTCAATAATGTATACTGCACTGAAACAGAGGAGGGAGAAAACTGTTTAAAAGAGATATATAACTGGATGTTTCTGTCATCACAGGAGTCTAGAGCGAGGGCTACATGGTAGAGGGGACCTGGGGGGGGGGTTGTGGAACAATGAAAGAATCTTTTCTTTTACTTTTAAATAATTTTTGACTCATGTACTTATAACTTGTTAGTCAAATTTGTGTCTTCTAGGTTGCAACACCCCCATGACACATCTTCAAGTATATAAACATGTATGGCTAAGCACAATCAATAAGAGTGCATCTAAATTCCAAAATCAATCTCCATAATAGTCTATGTGTTTCCTACTGCCAAAGGGGCCCTTTAGAGTAGTGAGAGATCTTCACCCTGAAACCTACAGCGTCTCTTTTCAGCAGGAAGTAGATAATACGCCATTCCCTTTTCCTTATGACTCAGGGTGAAGTCTCTCTCAGGGAGGAGTGATAGGGAATGGCAAAGGACACACTGACAAAGAAGATTAATCAGAACTGGCTTTGACAAGCACTGTGGCATTTGGACAAGAACAAACTGGGAGGAGGGTAGAGAGAATGGTGCAGCAGTGAATGAATGGAAACCCAAAATCTCTGTAAATGTTTATGAAAATTAATAAAATATAATTATAAAAAAAAAAAAAAAAAAGATGTGTTATTTTTTTCAAAACTGTGTTTCCAACCTTTTGTTTTGTCTTGTTATTTTTTTGACAAAAATGATTGGGTAGTATCATTACTGAAATTCAAAAAGCAGCATTTATGATGTCATGAATTTAGATTGGCAGTATCTTGATAAACAGTGAAGAGACTGAGATTGTTAACAGCTTCAGTTTGTTTGGCTCCACAATCAACACTCTTGGTACCAGCAGCCAGGAAATCAAAAGATGAATTGCACTGGGGAAAATCTGCTGTCAGAGACCTCTCCAGAGTACTGGAGAGCAATAATGTCAGTCTGGAGACTAGGGTGCACCTGATCTAGACCATGGTCTTTGCAATTACTTGCTATGCATCAGAAATCTAGACAGTGACTAGGGATGATATAAAGATAATTTAAATATAAATTAGATATATTTATATATAAATTAGAGATTATATAAAGAGAATTGATGCATTTGAGCTGTGGTGCTGAAGAAGAGTATTGAATATACAATGGACTGCCAGGAAAACAAACCAGTTTATCTTGAAGAGGGTGAAACCAGGCTGCTCTTTGGAGGCAAGGATTCTGAACCTTCTGACATACTTTGGGCATCCTGTAAGGAGGAACCAGTTCTTGGAGAGGGACAGCACAAGAGAGGATGACCTCGATGAGATGGACTGACTCAGTGGCTGGGGTAGTGAGAGTAGGTGTGTCAGAGGCTGTATCAGGTTGGCACAAGATAGAACAGGATTCAGAGGGTCACTATGAGATGCAAGTGACTTGATGGAACATAACAACAGCAACAAATTTTTTATGGAATGCAGTTGTTGATATTTGCTATGAAGTCAGAACCAACTCATAGTTGATCCTACAATGGGTTTTTGAAGGCCATAAATCTCACATGGGAAGACTGCCCATATTCCCCTGTTGGAGCAAGTGGATTTGAACCACATGCCTTCAGGTTGACAGTACTCATTACCACTAACTAGGTCACCAAAGTTCCCTTTTAGTGAATAGTTGTCACAATTAAATTTCCCCAAAACATAAAGGAAGAAATGGATTTTCAAAAAACAGCAAAAGAATAGGAAAGTTCAGATATATAAATAAAACAATGTTGCAGAAAATTATTATTAGCAAGTTCAATTATTCTATTATTCTAATGTCAACTGAAATACTTCGTTAATTTAAGCTGAAGGCTCCATGGTATCTCCTTTGATTACTTTTCACATGAACCAATCTTTTTTTTTTAAAAATAATTTTAATGAACATTTACAGAGAATTTGGATTTCCATTCATTCATTGCTGCACTTTTCTACCCGCCCAGCCCTCTCCCCCAACCCCCCCAGTTCGCTCCTCTCTTTCAAAAGTAAAAGAAAGACTCCCTCCCTGGTACACAATCTCCCTTGCAGCCCTCCCACCACCCCAAGTACATTCCACTATGCAACCTTAATTATGGACTCTTGTGATAATCATACTACCCTATCATACATGGCTTTTAAATTATTCAGTCCCTCATCTGTTTCAGTGCAGTATTCACAATTTATCCAGTTTTTCTGTCTTACCCTCACCCTGATATCAGTCCCATTTTACAGCAGTATGAACCAATATTTGATCAAATGTTCCATCATTAACACTTTTATCACCTGACCCAATAAAAATTTGACTTGACCTTAGCTTCTAAAGTAAACTCTTACCTGGTGGATTCAGATTTGTGGGATGGTAAGAGAGGGAGAAACCCCAAAACCCAAAACCACATTACTGTTGAGTGGATTATGACTCTCTGGGATACAATAGGACAAAGTAAAAATTCCCTATGGGGTACCCAAGGTTATAATCAGATTATCATCTTTACAAATGCAATCTGCCACATTTTTCTCCCCCAGAGCAGCTGATGGCTTTGAACTGTCCCCCTTCATTTTGTAGCCAACTGCTTAAGCACTGGACTGTCAGGGCTCTTTAACTGAGAACGAGGAGGGTAGCAACAACAGTAGTCAAATTTAGTGCAGGAAATGTTAATGATTCTCGTGGTAGTACATAAGGACTCAGAAGTCCTCTTCAGGTTGTTTTTGCCATTATGCCATGTAAATGTGAAATGTAAGCCTCATGAAATTCCAGATGTCTTGCATCAAATCTAGATTTTAAGGAAAGTTGCAGAATGAGGACCACTTTATATTAGTTTTTGTAAGGAGTAGTCTGAGTGGACACCTGGATAAACACTACCCTTGTGATATGGCTTAACACCCTCAGGTAAGAGATTTATTTAATTTCTACCCAATGAGATTTTACTGTATGAAAGTCAAGACAAAGGGAGGGGTTAAACCTTCCTATAGAAAGTCAGACAGTGTGTGTTTGGGAAATATATCTCTCCTGAGGACGCCCATCAGTGTAGTACTGTGGTGGCATGTGGATTGCTATGATGCCAGAAACTATTGCTGGCACAGGATTATTCCTGGTAGACAGGTTTCAGCAGAGCTTCTAAATATAGATTAAGAGGCAGACCTGGTCTCCCGATTCTGAAATGAGAAGTCCTTGAAACTGTTCTGAATATCAGTGGAGTACTGTCCACCTTAGTGTTAGAAGAAGAAGCAGCTCTTAAGATGTAAGGTAATAAAAATATAGGGAAAGAACCAGCTCCTCAAAATTGCAGTTGTTATTAGGTGTCACGACTCATGTTGAACAATGGATCTGAATGTTGCCCAACTGGGCATCATCTTCATCATCTCTGATATGTTCAAACTCATTCTTACCATCACATATCAATTCATCTTGTTGGGGTCTTCCTCTCTTTCTCTACCCCTCCACCTTTCCCAGCATGATGTCCTTCTCCAAGGTCTGGCCCTTCCTGACAGCATGCCCAAAGTATGTGAGATGAAGTTTCACCATTTATGCCTGCAAGGAGCAACCTGGTTGCACTTTGCAAGAAAGAATTGTTTGTTTGTTTGGAAGCCTAGGAATATTCCATACTCTTCTCCACCATCACAAATCAAAGGCATTGATTCTTTTGTCATCCTTATTCACTGTTCAACTTTCAGAGGCATAGGAAATAAATGAAAATATCATGCTTACATCAAGAACATCATAGTCTTTTGACTGACATCGTTGTTCTTTAGCACTTTGGGGAGATTCCTGACAGTAGATTTTCCCATTGCTATATGCCTTTTGATTTCTTGACTGCTGGCTCTATAGATATTGATTATGTATCAAAGTACAATGAAATGTATGTTGGTGGGTATAGTTTTTTTATCTTTGGCAGCAAGTATTTCAAGTTTTCTTCACATTTAATATGCAAATTTGTGTCATCTGCATAATGCAAATTACTTTTAGGTCTTCCTCCAATTTTGATGGCATATTCCTTGTCATATAGCTCAGCTTCTCCATAGATTGAATAGGTATGGAGAAAATCTACAATGCTGACACACACATTTCCTGATTTTAAACCATGCAGCAGGGGGATGGGGTGGACAGGGAGAAAAGTGCAACAACGAATGAATGGAAATCCAAAGTCTCTGAAAACTTTAATTAAAATCAACTTAAAATAAAAAAAAAACACCAGCAAAAAATAAAACACAAAAAAATAACAAAGCAGTGTTCCTTGCTCTGTTCAGACAATAGCACCTTGGTGGAGATACATGCTTTACATAAGCACAATTAAGTGTTCTAGGATTCTCATTCTTCTCAATGTTACTCATAAATTTGTTATGATACACAGTCTCATCAAAATTGTCTCCTTAACAACATGGATGATATAAGCTTTCAATCAATGAAGGACAATCATTTGCTTATGTGGCATAACTAAAAAAGAGGAGGGATGCAAACAACCACACTGGAACATGCAATATCTTAAGTAAAAAACTTGGAAAACTGTCAGTTGTCAAAAATGAAATGCAACACATAAAAATTGATTTCCTGGACATTAGTGAGGTGAAATGGACTGATGTTGACCATACTGGATCAGAAAATCATTACCAGACTCATTCTATGAAGCAAAAATGCCCTCATATCATAGCCAGGTAAAGACACCACCAAAATAGAAAACTATAGGCCAATATCTTTTATGACCACAGATGCAAAAATCCTGAATAGAATCCTGGCCAATAGAATCCAACGATACATCAAAAATATAATTCACCATGAGTAAGTGAAAGTCATAACAGGTATGCAAGGATGATTCAACATAAGAAAAACAATCAATGTAATTCA